TTATTAAAAATAAACAAAAAAATATTAAGGCTTAATGAGAATCCAAAAAAAAAATTTAGATCAAACCTAATTGGTCATTGTTAGTTAATTAAAGTTTCATAAAACTAATTCTCAATTGTTATAAAACTAATTCTCCTACTTAGAAGGAAAAGATATCTATCAAATTTAAAATTTGAAGTATTTAACAAGGAAGAGCAAAAAAGCGAAAAGGTATCCAAAATAAAACTGAAACTGTGACCCTTGAACATCGTCATTGGCGCCTCTCTTCTCGTCCTCTTCGTGACTATGGATTTCTTCTCCTGTATCATGTATCATCTTCTTCCCGAGTCACTAAATACTCTCAACCTCTACGACCTCTAAGACTTCGACCGTCTAAGCACCTACAGACTTTGATTTACCTCTACATCCTTGCTTACTTGTAAGTCCACGCCTGAGTTGTTCTTTCCCCTATTGTGTCTTCTGTCTTGTTCGATTTCTTTAGATATAATGGAATAAAGAAGAGTATAATTGAGTAAAGTACACTGTGCTCTCTGTTACGTGTCTATATAATGTGGCTACAACACTATTAGTTTTTGAATATTTTTTACTATATGCCTAGATCATTAATAAGTTACACGGTAATGTGTTTACAAAATAGGTTTTGACTTTTAGGCCTAATGCTAGAATTTGATATAGATGGCTTTCATCGTTCCTTTTTACATTTGCTTTATTGTTTAGTTATCTAATTAGGGTTTTAGCTTTAGGATATAAATAAAATTATTATTAAAAATAAACAAAAAAATATTAAGGCTTAATGAGAATCCAAAAAAAAAAATTTAGATCAAACCTAATTGGTCATTGTTAGTTAATTAAAGTTTCATAAAACTAATTCTCAATTGTTATAAAACTAATTCTCCTACTTAGAAGGAAAAGATATCTACCAAATTTAAAATTTGAAGTATTTAACAAGGAAGAGCAAAAAAGCGAAAAGGTATCCAAAATAAAACTGAAACTGTGACCCTTGAACATCGTCATTGGCGCCTCTCTTCTCGTCCTCTTCGTGACTATGGATTTCTTCTCCTGTATCATGTATCATCTTCTTCCCGAGTCACTAAATACTCTCAACCTTTACGACCTCTAAGACTTCGACCGTCTAAGCACCTACAGACTTTGATTTACCTCTACATCCTTGCTTACTTGTAAGTCCACGCCTGAGTTGTTCTTTCCCCTATTGTGTCTTCTGTCTTGTTCGATTTCTTTAGATATAATGGAATAAAGAAGAGTATAATTGAGTAAAGTACACTGTGCTCTCTGTTACGTGTCTATATAATGTGGCTACAACACTATTAGTTTTTGAATATTTTTTACTATATGCCTAGATCATTAATAAGTTACACGGTAATGTGTTTACAAAATAGGTTTTGACTTTTAGGCCTAATGCTAGAATTTGATATAGATGACTTTCATCGTTCCTTTTTACATTTGCTTTATTGTTTAGTTATCTAATTAGGGTTTTAGCTTTAGGATATAAATAAAATTATTATTAAAAATAAACAAAAAAATATTAAGGTTTAATGAGAATCCAAAAAAAAAAATTTAGATCAAACCTAATTGGTCATTGTTAGTTAATTAAAGTTTCATAAAACTAATTCTCAATTGTTATAAGACTAATTCGTTAACAAAAAGTATAAAGTTTTATATATTTATATATATATATATATATATATATATATATATATATATATATATATATATATATATAATTGTTAATTGAGAAAAACATGTTTATATAATTTTGATTTGTAATTTTGTTTCGACCCCCCTAATGAAAGTGGTTGTGTTCCACCCCTATCAGATGTCGCATATAGCCGATGTGTCGAAAAAACTAATGTTGATCGATTTTCCTTGAAATGGAACTGTCCAATAAAACCCAAACGTCGTTGTCGCATTCTTGATGGAACCTTAACAACTCCAAAAGGAAGAAGATTTATTCCCTTGGATGTTGAAAATAAAGCAAGTACATATGTCTTACTTTTTCAAGAATATTCCCCACCCTCCACCCATGCCTTTAGTTCGTATTGACGAAATCTGCAATAGAAAACTCACTCCCGAGAATTAATGGAGGAATTGCCCTGATTTGGTCGATTGATATAAACTCTAAATGTGGACCAAAACCATACTCCGAGATTAGGGTTCACTACCGGACAAGATATTTATCAAAGAAAAAGGAAATGATATTCGTTTGGTAGTAAGATTCATTGAACCCTACTTCCTTGCTTGATGTCTAAACTCTATTGGCTCTCTTATATGACATTTTATGATGAAGAAGCTTGAAGGATTAGTGTTCGAAGACGAAGTCAAAGTGATCAATTAGGGTTCGAAAAAGGAAGACGAAATGATCGATTATGGTTTAAAAATGAAGACAAATTACAATCTTTATGCCACCAAGAGGTTATCCTGAGACCGGACATCATGAAATGACTAAAATGCCCCTCATATGAGGGGCATGCGGGGAGCATTAACGAAGAAACCAAAATGGTAACTAAGACATGGGATAGATGTGTTATACAAACCTACAATAAGGACTATTTTTGACAAAATAAAAAACTATGACTAAAATTGCAAAATTATGCCAACCACATAGACCATTGTGATTCGTACACAACAATTTTTATCCATACACAACAATTTATGCTTTATGAAGTTGTACAATACAATACTTTAATACATAAATTATTGTGTATGGAAAAAATTTATTGTGTACGAATTAGTTCCCTTTTGTTTCCTTTTGTAAATAATGTTACAATTTTTTGCACTTAATAAGTTATCTTTAACTTAGTTTAGAGAAAAAGACAAAAATAATCATATTTCTTAATCATTTTCCATAAAATAGCCAAAATAAGAAATTTTCAATTTTAGCCGACGAATCGTAGATGAAGGAAAGGTGTTTACAATTTCGTTAAGTTGACTGAGATTTCATTATGTCGACTGCGATTTCATCTAATTATTTTCCGTTTTTATAAGTCTTTATCGCATATGGAATATGGCAAGAAGTACACCTCTTGCGAGTCACTTGAAACTCTCCAAGAGTCAATCCAAGAAGACCGAAGAGGGCAAAGCAGAAATGTCGAAGGTCTTTTATGTAACATCCGATCTTTTGAGGTATTATTATTTTATTTAAAATTTAATTTCAAAGAATTCTACCCTACGTTGGGCGTAGGATAGTCCCCTACGTTGAGCGTAGGAGGGAGTTTGTACGTGGGGATTAAGTGACCTACGTTGGGCGTAGGAGCACAGAACCAAAACCCTAATCTTTGGGGTTGTGAGCCTTATTTAAATACTGTGACCCCTTGAGGCCCTCTCCATTCTCAACCTCCACCCTCCCAAACGACTTCCTTGAAACCCTAGTCACCATTTATGAGTTTTGAGCTTTTGGAGTGCTTTGTGTTCACTTTTGAAGGAAGAAGAATATTATGGAACCACTTGGGAGCTCAAATCAATGTAGATTCGGAATTTGCATCCACTCATTCGTCTCTAGAAGGTATAAAGTTTCTACCTTGATGATGTTTCATGTTAGATCTAGTTATTCTTGAGTATTCCATGCTTTTGTCCCCATAACCTTGGTTTATATGAGTATGAGCTACTCTAGACCATTTGAGTATCATTTCCAGACATTTTTAGGGTTGTTAAGTCAAAAAAATAAGAGCTTGGTCACTCTCATCCATCGATGCATGAGTTCCTAAGCAATAGATAACTTTAAGGACCTAGGTTTAGGTTTTGTGCTCCTTGTGACCATGCAAATGGATAAAGTCGGAGACTTTATCCATTAAGACGTACATATGGTATAGATTAGTAAATATGAAGAGTTGACCTTTTATTTTAACTTTTAAGGACTTAATAATTAAGTTGGTCATCAGGAGGCTATGTTGGGCGTAATTTGCCTTACGTTGGGCGTAGCCCTGATTTTGCTCGTTTTACCACCTTAAGCTCTACGTTGGGCGTAGAGCTTCATGCTACACCGAGCGTAGGTCAGCTAGATCTAACCGTTGACTTTTTAGCCGTTGACTGTTGACTTTGACCAAGTTTGGCTTAGGGTCAAATTAAGGATTTTGGGTTGTAGATTGAGACTTGGTCCCTAATTGTTGTATAGGTAACATGTAGAGCTGGTTATCGGATCAGTGAAGAGCTCGGTCTAGGCTTCGTCCTATAGCGTAGTCTCGGCTTTAGACTAGAGCAAAGTGCAAAGTTGATCTTAACGAAGATTGGCAGAAGAAGCGAATACCAAAGTGCAGTCCCAATGAAGTTCTAAAGCACAATCTCTATGTCGGTATTCCTAGGAGCTTCAAGGGAGAAGTAGTTTCTAGTTCTCAGCTTCGGAAGTGTCCATACAATTTTGGAGAACAAGTTTGACTTTATACCAGCATGTCAAAGCCATTGGCCCATCCTAAAATTTTAGGTCAACATCACTATAAATACATGTTATTTATTGTAACTCTAATGTGTGATTGTGTGACGAGAGAGGGTATCCTTGAGTGTGGTAAATACAACAATATTCTATAGCATTCGATTATCAATAAAAGAATCTTTCTAGTTTGCATGTGGACTTAGCTTGGTCATTCAGATCAAGTGAACCATGAAAAATCTTATTGTGTTCTTATTTAATCTTCTTAGCATAATTGTTTATATCATTGTCCTTGCGAGGTCAGAGGGAGAGCCAAGATTTTTGAATAAAAAGGGCTTGAAAGCAACCAATTGTAGAGTTAGGGAGGCTTAAAATAGACGGTAATAGTGAGCTTAGTTAAGGAGGCTTAAAATAGACGGTAAGCTTTACGTATAGTGAGCTTTGGCTGATTGTGGACTTCTAGTCCAATTAAAAGAGATGGATTATGGAGGGCTCAACACCCACATGTCCACCTACTAGCTCCACCACTGTGTAAGGTTGCATCTTAATACCCAACAATATATGTGGAAAGGTATTCATTTTGTACATGCCTATACTATAGGAAATAGTTTAAAGCAATGAAGTGATATACATAAATGCAGTCAATTAGTCTTGTACTATAATTTATATGCTTTTGGTTTGCAGATACATGCTTTCACTAATCTAAACTTGTGCTTCTAAAGCCAGCAAAAGATAAGAAAATGAAAACTTAAAAGGATGACAGGATTCAACTTCTACATGGGAAACAATTGTCTACGATGCCTCACTGACCAATCTTGTAGACTGTTTACTTGAGCATTCACAACCTCACTGACCAAGTCTTTAAAAATCAGACGCTCTATATCTAACACTAGACCTGGAACCTCATAACAGTATTCCTCCCAATCTTGTGATCTCTTATTCACATCTGCATTTATGATGTTTATCACTTCATCATCATCCTCATCATATACGCCTCTCTTGGACTTATTTTGCAGACTGTCGATTTCTGAGCATACTTCTTTCAGTAGCTTGTCTTCATTCAAAATCCTCCCTTTAGGCCCAAAAGGACCTAGCATGCCTAATTTGTGGCCAAGAACATCGTTCACAGTATCAAATACCATTTTTCTTCTGATTTTGTCCTTGGATTTTGATTTGTGGTTGAAGTCTGTACATCCTTTGGTTTTCTCCAAAACATGGAACAACTCAGGGTTGATTAAACCACCTGTTGGATGAATCTGCACTATTGTGGTGATGCGAACCAGATCTTTTAAGAAACCTGAGGCTATTATTATCTCTCTTACATATCTTTCATCTCCAGTTTCACCCTCACATGGAGTGTGATCGACACTAGCATCATCAGCCTTGGTGTTCAATAACTCAATTTGATGAACTAGATTCTTTATGTTTTCTAGTTTCATGCTACTGAACTCAGAACACTGTGCTTCTTCAAAGTGTAAATTCTCCTCATCTGAAATGAGATAGACGTAATCACTGTAAGCCATTAAAATAGAAATAAGGTAAGTGGCTTGATAGATAGGAAACGTACCATTAAAAGCATTGGATTTCTTCTTCACTGGAGATGGTGGGTCTTCTGTATAGAACGCATCAAGAACAGATACAGGACTTGGTTGTTCCATGGTATGTTTGGCATGGTCAACCATTGACTTCTCTTCGGTCAACCTTTCTGCTATATTACCCTGGAGAAAGATGACACATGTTGAAAAGTTAGTATAAACATTAAGTGATGAGTTTGCATATGTTGAAGTACAATCACTCACCCTGTGGTTTTCCTTTGGTCGAAATGGGCTATTCACCTCTTGCATCCACTCGGTGCTCATGACTTCTGAATCACTTTGTGAAGCCAAACTGTTGCTTTCTGATCGAAAGGAAACTGTATCACTCTGTTGACTAAAAGTTCTTGTTTCTTGCAATGTATCCATGGATTTGGCCTTTGGTTTTCTTGTTCTTGAGCCCACTTGCATACCGGGTTGCTTTCTGGTCCTGCTCAATTCAGATGAAGGTCCATGTATCAATGGCTTGTCTACACCATTCTTTGATCTTTGAATTCTTGGGCCCGGTGGCCCAGAATATCTTGAACTTGTGGATATGTAATCTGGAAAGTTTGAAGTTGACAGTGGTCTACTAGTTGACTTCTTATCTCTCCGGATCGAATCTTTCAATCTGCCCCTACCAATGGAACTGGAATCTGAAGTTAGCGTCGCAGGTTTTATGTCGACTTTCAGGAATTCATGTTTCCTGGGAGGGCTAATTCCCTTAATGGTGGGGGAAACTGGTTTATGATCATCAATGGTGCTGTTGTTGTCCAATGCATGATCTTTGTACTCTAACCTCCTTCGTGTCTTCTGCATTGCTTCTAGTATCTGTTTAAGGGCTCTGAGATCCTTCCCTGATGATTTAAAATCGTGTTCAGTCAACCGTTTCTCGATCGCGCCATAAATGGAAGGGGAAGCAGGTGCGGATTTTTCTGGATCTTCCTTACTCTTGAATGGTGGCTTCTGTGCGCCTCGATTACTACCCTCCTGCTTCCATGGAGCTGTTTCCAGTGGTATTCTTGTAATTACATGACCGACTCCCCTCTTTAGTTCCTCCTCTTTTCTTGATTTTGACTTTGAGACCGATTCTTGACTTGAGCAAGGTGTCTTCAACGTCGCACTTTCATCAATGGCGGCTGTTAAGGATTCCAGACCCATCAACCTTGCGACAACACCTGATGATGGTCGTTTATTAGTTCTTGCGGCGCTCTCCATGTCACCTAGCAAGCTTTTTCTTGCATCAATGGCGGAATTACTGATACAGCTTTGCCTGCTGTCTAATGATAACCTTGGAAGCTCTTTGATCTTCATATTGGATTTCAAAGAATATCGTGATTCCCTTCCATCACATGACCTCCGTGTTGTCTCCTTTACTTCCTTGGCTGACCATGGAATTTCCCGCTGGTTTCGACCGTTTTCATCGGATTGACTGGTCTTCTTATGTGGGAATGGCCTTGGGGAATCGATATGCTTCATAGGAGGACCCACCATAGCTTTGATTGATACTACACGAGGTTCTCTACTCATGGAATCCCTGACTACATCTCTGATATCAGGTGATTGTATAGAAAAATCTGGTTGTTTTCTGGTTAAGAATGGCGATGAAGAGGGTTCAGAGACTACACTTTGGCAAGACGACGATTGTTCTGTTTGAACTCTTTTACAACAATCTAAAGATGACAAAGCGTTAGATGAAGTAGAAGAAGACACCGAGTTTCTTGGTAATTCAACAGAGACTCTCTGCTTCTCTTTCATGGCTACCTTGGAGTTTTTTTCCTACAAAATTGTAAAAGAACACCAAAATATTCCCAAGTGAGCATTTTAGGCAAATTTCAATGGTTATTTCTGATTAAGCTCATGTTGTTTACCTTGGTTTGCTCTGAAGGCTTGCTAAAGTCTTTGTCACCATTGCCACTTTGACCTAAAGATCAAGCAATTGGCAATTCGTTAAGACATGGAAAACCAAAACGATGATTATATATTCATATAGTTCTATTGCTTGTTATTTCTACTATTGTATATGGAAGCTTTGTTTAAGGTACAACTAGAACATTCATGGTGGTACCTGAAGGTGGAGGTAGCCTCTTCTGGTTGTGGCGGCGGCGTTGGCCAAGGAGGTAACGCCGGTCAAACAGCTGAAAGATTCCATTCATGCATCCTAATTGCTTCTGTAACTCTTGTTTAATCATCATCTTTTAAAGCATACACAACCTCCTTGGTAGCCATTTCCACCACCAGCGTCCACCGCTGATAATTCCTTCTTCCACTCAACCAAATCAAGATGCAAATATCATTGAAAGATGCTTTACTTGCCCAAGTCGCTCTCTTTCTTTACTAAAATCTACAAAGATTGTTGCTTTTTAGGTTCTTGAAGAGATTTCATTTGATGGAATATAAGGTGGGATGTTTTTTTTTTTTTTTTTTGTGGGAATTGAATTGGGTGTCAAATTTTAAGAATGAGAGGGAAAATTGCTGTCATTTTTATATAATTTATTTTTTGCAATTGTGGAAAGAGAGAGGAGGTAGTGGGACAGATATGCACTGGCTTTCCGGTCTTCCATGTGGACAAAATAATGTGGGTAGGGTCTCAAGTCTGCCTTCTTCATGTGGTGTTTGTCAGGTGATGCAAGTTATAGTAAATGGCATGTATGCACTGGCACCTTCATGCTTCAAGTTCTAATCCCTTTTTGTAAGCCTTTCTCTTTTGCAAATTTACCAAACTATCCTTCGTGTTCTTCCTTCTATCAAAACCTTTTACTTTTATTTTCTGGTAATTTAACACATTTCCCTAAATATCATCAAATTTCTATTTATATTTCTTTAAATCAATAAATACACTTTATATTCAATTGTAATAATTATGGGTGAATATCATATTTTTCCGCAAACCATATATCATATCTTCATATATATCATAGTAACTATAGTTGGTAAAAGAAATTTATATATTCATATATATCATAGTAACTATAGTTGGTAAAAGAAATTTATTATGAGTACCATATCAAGTATATTTAGTATCAATTTATTTACCTACTAAGGACTTGGTTGATACAAATTGCTAAAATGATATATCTTAGGGGTGTAAGTGAGCCGAGCTACTCGAGATCGACTCGTTAAAAGCTCGACTCGAGATCGAATTAAACGAGCCTGAGCCGAGCTCGAGCCTAAATATGAGGCTCGTTATTAAACCAAAGCTCGAGCCGAGTTTCAATAGTGGGCTCGCGAGCCTAAACGAGCATATATATATATATATATATATATAGATATAATATATAGATCTATATATATATATATATATATAATATATATATATATATATATATAGGGAAAAGTGAATATACCCTTAAGGGTATATAAGCTTAGGTACTCAAACTCACCTTATTACGTTGTTTTTTATCATATATACACATTGTAATTGTTCAATGTTCTTCTAATTCAACTTCTAACTTGATATAATTCCAAGATTTTTATAAATTTTACATTTATATTCCTCTTACATAATTTTCAATTTCAACTATAATATATATAGCCTAGTAGGTGTTCGGCATAAAGATGTGATGTAAGAGGAAGATAATAATGAAATTTCGAAAATCTTGAAAGTAAATCAACTTAGGGGTTAAAGTTTAAGAAGATTATAATGAATATATCAAACAAAACGATGTATTATGGAGGGTTTGGGTATCTAAGCTTATATACCCTTAAGGGTATATTCACTTTTCCCATATATATATATATGATACCATTTTGATTACAGTTTAATTAAAAGACATAGAATTTCATATTAAAATACAAATAGTTTTGCTTTTAGATAACGTATTTGCTTGTAACGAATTTTAATACTAGCTCTTATGAACTGTCTAACATCATGAATATGATTATTGTTTAAAATCGTACCTAGATTATTAGGTTTGTAAGAATCCTTGAGATTTTGCTCAGAATTATTTATAGATTCTTGGATTTGTTGTATTCTTACAAGAATATCTCTATTAGGAATACAAATCATCAAGATTTTGTTAGACATATTTAAATAATTCAAGCATGAATTTGATTAATTTGATTATTAAAAACGAGTACTATTTTAACAAATATTTCAAATCTTGTAGAATTAATGGTTAGAACAACTCGAAATGAAACTATCATGGAGAAATAGAAGCAATACAACAATTGAATAAAATATTTTAGATAATACCTTCTTGAATTAAGCTTGAATTACAATCAGTACATACATCTGGAGAAAGAATTATTTGAAAATCTAGAGACTTTGAACATCTGCTAGTAGAAAGAGAGACTATTGGAGATTTTTTAGACATAGAATGAACATTTTTTAGAGAATGAATATTTTTGCTTGTTTTGTTCTACTAACACATGATGTCTATTTATATTCCTCTTGAAGTCTTCAAAACCTTGAAATCTTGTAGTGAAATCTTTCCTTATGATTCAATGGCCAATCAATTATTTGTAAGTGGTTGTCACTTTCATCTTTTGAAGAAATTGTCTTTTGTAATCAGTAAATATCACATTTTGATAAAGCATATCATCATAGAGCATCTTCTAAAGTTTTTTGTCTTCATATTATCCATTATGGAGCATCTTGTAAAGTTTTTTGTCTTCATATTATTATTGCTGATAAGACTAAATAATTTTGATAATAAATTTGATAATATTTGTTTTATACACTATAAATACAAATAGTGTATAATTACACAGTATATACACACTCGTATTTGAAAATAATGGATTTGATAAATAGAAGAAACGAAATACCCTACATTGAAGGTATTACACAAAACCAAATTTAAGAATTTCTTATTCTTCATAAGGATCATCAAAAGGGTCTTGAGCGTCTTGAAATAAATCATTCTTTATAGATTTTGAAGAATCGTCAGAAACTGATGGAGTTTGGCGAATTTCTTGAAGTAAGTTTTGAAGTTCTTCAGGAGAAGAGGTAGCAGCATCTTTAATTCTTGAAATTAAATCCACATCACTTTGAGGAAGACTTTTGATAAAAGTGGCTTCAACCTCCGGTTTTTGAATATATATTTCTTGATAATATTTAATTACTGCTTGTTCACTGGCTTGAGAAATCTTCATTTTATCCCATCATTTTGAGCGAAATTGTCGATTAAGCCAGGGAGGAGAGGTATCCTTTGCTTCTTGATAATGAAAAGTCCAAGACATTATCCATGGAACTCTGAATATCATAGTGAATTGTAGCATATATTCAAATTCTGGAATTTGTTGAATAAACAATTCCTTAAATTTGAGATATCCATCGTAAATTTCTTTTGGTAAACAATTTGGAAGAATTCCCATATATTTATACCAATTGATAAACCATCTTGGGTATTCACAATTGAAGTTTAAATCAAAGAAGATAAACCATGAGTGTGAATAATTTCGAATAAAGAACACCTTAGTCCAGGCATCTTGATAATCATAGTAAGAAAATCTGGGATAAGCAGGATAACTTATAAGAGGTTTTTCAGAATGAAGGTTTGGAACCCAACTTTCTGGAGAAATGATTTTGATGATGTGAGCTTTGCTAAAATCAATGTTTCCTTCTTTTGAATTAGAACGATGAACAAAATTGACCGAACCAGATTCTTGCAAAATAGCTTGATAATATTCTCGAGTTTTATATGAATCAACATAAAAGGTTTTCCCTTGACCAAAAGCATGATTTGTGAGAATATGAAAACCTTGATGTAACTTATGGATTTGAAAATCTTCAAGAATTTGAACTCTTAAGAATTTGGATTAAGAACATAAGGAGTTTTTGTAGGAGGGCTAGGAGTCACAGAATTTTGAGTTTGAGGAGTAAAAGGTCTTACAAAAGGGCTTATAGTGTTTGTTGTAAGAAGTAACTTTTGAAGTAACAAGTTTTGATTGAAGGATATTAGAATAAAGTTGTGAATTCTTAGAAGTAGGGGTTAAAGGAGAAAAACGATTTTGATTTTGAAATGGAACAAGCTTTTGATAGACGGGTTTCTGTCATCATGTTTGGAAGAGGACGATGAACTCATTTTCCCTGCAAAAATTCTCGAGAAAGAAAGTCAGGAAGCGAATTATTTTCGCCTTTTATGAATTCTATTTCGAAATCAAAGTTACCTAAAAGGGCTTGCCATCGAGCAAAAATT